TTCTATTTCGATATTTTCTTATCCACCAATTAAGCTTGATTATGCTGTTTGTCTTGATTGTAATGCAGGAAACGAAGCACGACTTCAGCCACAAATGTCCTTTCAAGTATTGATGAGCTTACACAAATATACGAATTTCTCCTTATTTATTTTCCAACACTATAAAATATATATTTTGTGTTAATGGTCGAATACTTTAAAAATTGAAATAGGGATATATTATTGGCAATGGAATAACGGATCCAAACATTGATTTTAATGCAAGAATCCCATATGCTCATCGCATGGCACTTATATCAGATGAATATTATGAGGTAAAAATTTTTATTGAAAAATGTTGATGATAAATGCAACAAATTGCATCTTGTTCACATGTTATCACTTGACACAATTTCAGTCAGCAAAAAATAGTTGTGGTGAGAAATATTACAATCGCGATCCAAATAATGTACAATGTGCATATGACCTTCAACGGATCTGAGAGGTAAGATTTGTTTTTATTTTACATCAGGTTGTTTTTTTTTTCCCCCACATCTTTAACATTTGTATGGTTGTAAACACTAAAAAAGTTCCATTGTATCATCAAATATTGCAGTGTTTAAGTAATATAAATCCAATTCAAATTATGGATGAAAACTGTGGAGGCAGAACAACAAAACTAGATGAATATTTTCGATGGCATCACACATTTCGGGGAGACAATTTAACTGACCATCTCCTCCTCCCAACAGCAAAACAAGAGTGTCAAGTAACTTAATTAACCCTCTCTTGATATTTATTTTTCTCCAAATTATGTTAAGACTTGGTCTTTCTTTATTAAAAAAAAATTTGGTAGAAAAGAAGCTTAAAGTAACTTATTATTATTATTATTATTTTTAATCTTTTTCGTGCATCCTGATTTTCTCATGAACATGTTTCTTTCATGCAGAATATTTTTGATGTATCTGATTATTGGGGAAATGATCCAACTGTTCAAGAAGCTCTCTATATTAGAAAAGTACGTTAAATAGAAAAAGATTAAAGATTCAATATGTGTTATCATGTGCTAGATATCAACAAAAACAAAATAAAAATATTATATGTGATAAAAATATTACAGTAAACTCATATTTGATCACTAGGGAACGATAACAAGGTGGAGAACATGCAATTTTGGAATATCCTATGAAGATAATGT